TCCAGAACTAGACTCCTTACTTTTTTCCCAGCTGGAGGCACGCATTACCGTGAGTACCTACCCAGAATACCCAACCTTTGAGTCTCAAACATACCCGCTTTTTTCCAGATCTGACAAATCACGATCCGACATCTGCCGAGCTTTTGGGACCGAGCCAAACCCAAAATATCATCACTGAAAAGGTCCAATAAAGGTGGACAATTTCGACGGGGTGTCATATTGCGTGGTGGGAATTGGCGTTGATTGGAGTCGGTCAGCGAAGCCTATATATTGCCAGGCGTCGGCTGGTAATCCGCATTTGGGGGTTGTCGGGATTTTTCAAGAGTACAGTAGGCTGAAAAGTGGGGATTTTTTCGTTTTGGTGGTGTGTTTTCGAAAGCTTATATTCTCTCTCTCGCTCTCTCTCTCTCGCTCTTCTCTATCTCTCTCTTCTCACTTGCTCCATAGCTGTGTTTTCTTTGTGTTTTTGCAAGATACAGTAAGCGAGATTTTCTCTATGTCGCTCTCTCGCTCTCTCCCCCACTCTCTCCCTCCCTCCTTCCTTCTCTCTATACCGTAGCCATTCTTTCGCCTCCATTTGCGGCTCTCCCCGAATCTTTGGCCAATCTCCCCCCCTCCACCCCCAAGAGGACCCAAAAAGAACGGGGGCCCTCCTCCTTTGAAAGGTCCCCTCCCTCTCCGGATGCTAATTAGTTTCCCGCAATAATTAATTCGCACACACATCTCCCTTCCCTTTCTTCTCCTCTTCTTGCCATCGGGTTGCGTCCATCACCATCCAGCCCCAAATTAGGCCCCGAATTTCGGGAGCAGGAAAAATGGGAAGGTTTGGCGGGTGGAATTTTGGTGGTTCAATGTTGCGATAAATGGAGCTTGGGGTTAGGCTTAGACTGGTTAGTCTTGTTAGTCTTGGCATAGGCATAGGCTTAGGCTTAGGCTTTGCGGCTTGCCACATGTTTCAAGCGCGCCGGCGACTTAGCGAGGATTAGCCAAGCCTGAAAAAAAGCCGTTACCGTAGTACCCGTGCCTGAATTGCGTACCTAAAATTAGCCTCTCCCAATTTCGGGGGTCTCCAAAAAAACGGCCCACACCAGAAATAGCTGCTGTGGAATTTGGTGTCGCCCGGAATGGATTGCACCCAATTTCGAGGCATCGGCCAAATGATTGGGGGGCCCGGAATTGGGATCCACGTCTATAAACCAGTCAGCCCGGGAGGACGGAATTAATTTCTGGAGTTGGGCCTGGATTGTTTGGAATCAGGCCTCTTGGATCGTTTTCTCTGCATCTTCTAAAGGGGTCTAACTCAAGCCTATCCCCAAGGCTAAGCCTAAGCCTGAGCTTAAGTCTAAGCTTGACCTAAGCCTCAGCCGAAGCCTCAACCTAATCATCAACCTAAGCCTCAGCCTAAGCCTGAGCTTCGGCCTAAGCATAAGCCTAAGCCTAAGCCTAAAAAGTTGCCTTTTAAAGACGATTACGGCCCGGATTGTTGCAAAGAGAAACCTTACCGTATTCCTTAGAAAACGGTCAACAACAGCAAACGCTTGCCTTTTACATCCCTTTAAAGCCCCCATATCTTGACGCAATTTTGAATATATGATATGTGTACATCTATGATATATCTGTCTATTTATCTTTTTGTATGTGTGGATTGGATGGTGACGGAATCTAAAGGAAGGCCATCCAGAGCCCGTCCCTTGAAAGGAGCCCCTTCTAGGGCCCCCAAGACTCAATTAGGACCGCCTTCACAACACACACACACACATGGACAGAGAGACCGACAAACACACAAACAGACATCCCTCCCCTTCCCCCTTGCTAACCACCGCTGCCACATTCACCACCGCCAGAACCTTGGCAGCACCCTTTTTAAAAGCCGCCCAGCTCCTTTCATAGGTATGCCAAGGTTTCCTAAAGAATCTCTGCTAGCCTGCCTGGTACACAGCTTTTAAAGAAAAATTCAGATTTTATAGAAGTTTCTGAGTGATTCGCCAGCTTTTTCGTTTTCGCCCCACTCTCCTCTTGCGATACCAGGCCCAAAAGCAAGTTTCGCTTGTAATACTCTGCTAGCCTCCCTGGACTATTTCCTCAAAGGATTTCTGCTAGTCTTCTTTTTTGTCTGCTAATGCCTAACGAAAAATTTTAGATGCTAGGTGGGCTTTCTAAATTTTTTCACAGCCCCACGCAAAGATTCTCTGCAATCCTACTGGCGTTGTAGAATTTTTTATTAGTGCATTGAGCAGAACATTATGCAGGACCTTCTACAAAGAATTCATTTATCGTTGGAACGACGCCAAGAAGATGAGGTGTCTGGGAAAGGCAAAGAGGAAAGGAAAGACTCGACAAAGAGACTCTTCGGGGGTGTAATCCTACTTCTTTAGTATTTCAAAGGAGAAGAAGCCTTAGGGTTTCCTCATTAGGGCCCAGACTCGAAGGGGTCTCTCTCTCTCTCTCTCTCTCTCTCTCTCTCCATTCCCATCCCCTTTAGAATGGCCCAATCAGGCCTGGGCCCTAAGGACCCTAATTCCGTGGAGGAGGGCCCTCCCCTTCCCCCCCGTCTCCCCGTTTCTTTGTGGCTCGTTTCAGTTTTTCTGAACGCCCGTTGCATACGAAATTACGGTGGGCCATATTTTGGGCGTAATTATTGTGGTATTTCGGGTCCTTCGGATATTTTGGCAGGCAAGCGGTTGACTGACCGGAGAAGGGTCATCTAGCAGAGGTTCTTGGGGAGTTATCTATGGGCTCAAGAGCAAGTTAGCGGAGATTTTTAGAGAATTTTTTAAGGGAACCTAGCAGCGAGTTTTTAGGAATTTAGTCTGGAAAGACAATTAAAACTAGCGGAGGTGATCTGCTATTTGCTCGATGATCGATGGATGGACGTTCGTGGCAAGCTAGCAAAGCCCATTGAGGAAACCCTCCCAGAACGACCAATGTTTATTCAGTTCCTGGTTATGAACATCTCTCCTCTCTCACGTCAAAAATAACCCCGGTGGTGTGGCCGTCAGAAGTAGCCACTTAATCCCGTCAGCTCTCGCCGGGCGCGAGTCGCTTAATTCCTCCCTCACCTTTTCTTCTATTCTATTCTGCATCCCATTCCACTCGGCTCCTCTCGACAGCGGCCAAAAATGGGCTGGGAAGGCGGGGGAATTTTTCCGGGAAATTGCCCCCCGGGGCTGAGCAGTTGGCTAGGGCAAACCACAAAATGTGCTGGCGGCGATAAACTGAACGTTTCTATTGGTAGCTTAATTGTTTTTCGGTATTCTAAAAATGTTGTCTTGGCTTAGGTTTAGGCTTAGGCTTGATTGAGGCTTAGGCTTGTCTCAGGCATAGACTTAGGTGAAGACTTGGGTCATGCTTAGGCTTAGGATTGCTCTCGACTTAGGCTTAATTGTGCTTAGATTAGGCTTAAGTTTCGCTTAGGCTTGTCAGGCGTAGGAGTGGGCCTTGTGTTTCAGCTTAGGTTTGGCTTCACTCGCTTAGGGCTACGTTTTCGATACCTCTTGCTGATTCCTCTTTAACATCTTACCGTGCCCAAAATCACCATTCTCTACATTTTTCTGTTCTTTTTGGAGCCCAACCTCTTTAGTCGGCCCTGGCCGCCTCTGTGTGCGATGCTAATTAGCTTGTGGCCAATGTATTCGTGTCCTACCCCCCCGAAAATGCGAAATGGGGGCTAATGATGGCCTGAAAAGGCATTTTGCTCTGTGTTCCATGGCCCCTATGTATATACACGACGCGGCTAAGGCAGTTCCTGGTTGCGCCGGATTTGTTGCATGGTTTTTGGCTTTTTAAAGGGACGGGCAAGGTTGTTTTAGGCTTTTCGATCTGGCCGACTAAGGCCCAGCCGGTATTTCAGAAAATCTACCGTAACCCTCGTAGCGCCCCTTATTGCTCAAAAAATTAAATTGCTTTCAGATCGGCATTTAGGGCCATTTATGGCTTATTACAGAGTATTCTGTGGCGAGGGCCCGTTTTGTTTTTCGCTGCTCTCTCTTCTCTCTCTCACTTCACTCTTACTGGCTTCATTTCTGGTTGATTGGCTTTGTCGGGACGTGGGGGGTCCCGTTTACGGGCCCCTGCCCCCCTCTTGGGCCCATCCAATTGCAAAAGTCTTCGCGTCAGAAACCGTCCTCTCCCGCAACCCCGGATCCTTCTTATCCCCCTTCCCTTTCCCCTCTCCCGTCGGTCCCATGGCCTATCGGTCTATGGCGCTTGGCCCAGGCGATGGCCCGTTCTTTTGCTCCCGGCGAGCGCCTACCTAACCCTGTTTTTATCCCCGAGTTACGGCCGGTAACCAAACCAACGAGACTTTAGTGTACCTTTAAGCCCGTAAATGGGCCAATTTTCATTACTTTTGGCGGTGGCCACTCCCGGAGCGGCCATTTCCGCTCCTTTTGCCTATTATCCCCCGACCGCCCCCACAAGCATATGTGTGCGCTGACTTTTGGAGTGTCGCGGGAAAAAGTGCTAGTTGGATGGGGTTGGTATTACATCGGAATTGGAGCTGTAATTTGGGTACCGTAACTTGCATTTGATACAAAACTTCACTCACTCAGATAGCATGCCTGAAAATTTTAGCTGACTTCGGTTATGCTGAGACTAAGCCGAAACATAGACCTACTTTCTTAGCTAGGCTACTGTTGGCGTAAGTAGTTCACTAAAGTTGCTTTGGTCGTTTTATACCGTAACCCAACTTAAAATATACATTATACCTCAATTTAAAATATCGTGATTTATAAGTATTCTGTGAATCTTTAACTCATGCATTTCTCAACAATTTTCCAAGTTTCCACGTTAAAACACATCCATTTCAGGCTACCGTACCCCGGGATGATCACCCTCGGGAACAGTGCATTCAAGCCATACTATCGTGAGGGGACCCTCGTCGACCCATCGGCCGATGCACCACAAAAGGTCCGTTTCCCCCTTTCGTTTGCACCCATATTTTGGCCACTTGGCAAGTGCCCAACCGCGAAAAATTGCCCTAATAAGCGTTGTGGGCCCAGATGCTCAACATTGTCGTGTCGACGGTCGCTTATTTGGGCAATTTTATCAGTAGTCTAGGGCGAGAGGGAGGAGAATTAGAGAAAGAGAAGGAGAAATTGTTCTTTTCCAGTCGGCCAGCGAGTCGCCGGAGAACCCGATGGACCTCATCGCGCAGTTGAGCCTGCTCGCTAACTTGAAGGTGAGAGTTTATGGTTTAATGCTTTTCGCTTAAGCCTAAGCCTAAACCGAAACCTAGGTCTAAGCCTAACCTAAGCCGAAGCATAAGCCTAAAAGCAGCCTAATGATACCTTTCTGCAGAGCCAGCTTGACGCCCAATCCCTGACCCTGCCTGGCCTCGGCGATCTTCAAGAAACCATGCAGAACGCGGCCTCGAATATCCTACAGCAGGTATCACCTTAAATTCACGTCGCTTGAAAAACATGAACCTTAGTTTGGCCTCTCCTCCCAACTGCCGCCGATCCCGACCACCTTGGCGTCGATTGAGCAGCTACTGGGCGGACAGCCACCTGTTCCGGTGGTAAGGCTTTTTTTGGAAGACCTGCAGAGATTCGTGAGGAAAATCAACCTTGACCATCATTTCCAGACGCTAGCCCCCACGGTCCCGTCCACCTCTCAACCTCCGCCACCTCAACCTGCCGCTCCGCTGGCTGCGCCTCTTTCGGCTGCGACTCCCGTGTCCGCTTCCGCGGATGAGGGTACCAAGAATAAGCGGAAACGGACGACCTTCACTAACGCGCAGCAGGTCAAGCTCGAGATGGTCAGTTTTACGTTTTTTCAGATTTGTTATTAGTAGGTTTATGCTTAGGCTTAGGTTTAGTTTTAGGCTTAGACTTAGGCTTAGGCTTGTGCTTATGCTTTGGGTTGGGCTTAGGCTCAGGCTTAGGCTTAGGCTTAGTCTTATGCTTAGGCCCTCATCCATTATTTTGACCTCCATTCCTTTTCTCCACAGAAAACTCCAGAAACCCCAAAAAAAAACGCAAAAGAATGGCCCCCAATCCTGACCCGGGTCCTAATTGTATTTGGGGCCAATGCCCTTCTTGTGCTTCTTCTCCTTCCCGTCGAGGGTCTCCAAATGGCCGGCGGCAATACATGGGTTGTTTTCTTTTTTCGCTCTTTATCTCTCGCCCCTCTCCCAAATGCCCATTCTCTCGCCGGTGCGGGGGTTGCATTCGCTGAAAGCATTGCAATTGCGGCGGCTTCTGGCTAAATGTGCCTTTGTGGCCCCGCGGGGGGAGCACCAGCCCCGGAAAAGTCCACTTTTTAGGGGAAATGGGGGTGAGTTGGATAGTTTAAAGGGGGCTGGAAGGTAGAGGGGTTAAAAAGAATTATAGGGGAGCTACGTGGATTATCTCGATTATATACTTATGCGTGGATTTTTCCGCCTTCGCAATGCGCGGCACACAGTCTATCGCGTTCATTTTCGCCTGATCTCTCGTTCTGCGTCGCCAGGTCTCACGTTGCGCGCCAGTAGCTCTTGCGCTGCGTGTCGCGCACAGACGCGCGAAGTTTTTCGGAAATTTACGCAAGCACTCCATCATCTTTTACCCATTTCGTCAACCCGCGCAATATCGCTCTTCTCCTTGGTCCTCTAAGATTTCCTCAAAAAAGGAATTTGAAGTGAGAGAAGGGGAAAAGGAAATGCAATGATATTGGTCCCCCAGCACCCCGCAGCGAAATGCCCACTCAACCGCCTCGTGCACCGCATTTCCGATTTACGGCCCGAATAGGGGCCAGATTTCACTCGAGAAATCCGGGGGAACCCAGATTTCCGCATATACACGAAATAAGCGCTTCGGGAATGGCTTCGGTGAAATTCTAAATTCCGCAATAAATTCTGCTAGCTTGGCTGGCCTTTCCCCAAGAGTCTCTGCTAGCATGCCCTAAGGTTTTGGTTTTGAGAAACAAATAAAGTAGCCCTAAAGGATCCAAAATCAAACAAAATTCCCTAATAAACTCTGCTTGCTTGCCCAGGTCTCCATAATTGCCTTTCGAAAGTCTGGCTCCCTAGCAATCTCTGCTAGCTTGCTTACCGTTTTCCTAAGAATCTCTGCTAGCTTGCACTCAGCTCAAAATCTTCCCCCAAAGGCCTCAAAACTCGGGCAAACTCCCTAAGCATCTCTGCTAGTATGCCAGCCCTTTGCCTCGGCTAGCTTACCCCAGCAGAAGCCACGTCGAAGCCAAAATTTCCCAAAAATCTCCGCTAGCTTGCCCTTCCCTTTAATCCCATCTATCCTCAAAAATGTTGCTGCTCTCCGGTAAATTTGAGCTGTAGGCGGCAACATTGCCCTTAAAAAGTCACGGGTCTCGTCGCCCCTTTTTTCCGCGGGGATCCAATTAGCGTTGTGTGTATGGATATGTAGCCCCGTCATGGCGGGTTGTCATCTACCTTCTCTTCACATTCTACACCACTAATAGATATATGCCACTAATAGAAGGAGGGGCTCATTTTAGGGGATGGAAGAGCAATACGCTGCTCATGACAGCCCTGCCCCCCAATTTGTCGGGGGAGGCGAGCGGAAAAATGTGACTCCATACTAATAAAGCCAATTTGGATATGGGGGAGGATGAGGATTCTCAAAAATGGGGAGAGATAGTTGGGAATTCGCCAAAGTGGTTGGTTTTCTAGTCCTTTTGAATCCATTTTGGATTTTTTGAATTTTGCGATTAAGGAGAGGGACAGAGATAAGCGACAGAGATAAGCGACAGAGACAGAAAGAGAGAGAGAGAGAGAGAGAGAGAGAGAGAGAGAGAGACAGAGAGACGGGACAAAAAGCGAGATCGACGCAGCGAGAATGGGCGAGTGCGAGAGATAGAATTTGGGCAAGAGAACGAGAAACACATCAAAACCGCAGAGAGGGCAAAGGGAGAGAGAGAGAGAGAGAGAGAGAGAGAGAGAGAGAAAGCGACACCTTGGGGGAAAATCGAAAGAGCTATAGAAAAACTAGAAAAGATCTTAATTCAAGCCCAGTATCTCCCCCCTTATAATGCCATAGTTCTTCTCCTCCTCCCCACCCTACCGATCGTACTTCTTCATTCTGTTTGCTATAGCGTGGGGGGAAGAGTTGGCCGCTGATGGGCCACATTTTCAATTAGATGCCTGCCAGCAGCGGGGGAATGGAACGGGTGTCACTTCCCCCACTCGCCTTTTTCCAAAAAAAAAGTAAATTAGAAGCGGCTCGGTGATTGGGGGCTGCCGGCATTCGCCATCGGATAGTGGCAGTAGTAGTGCGGTGGAAAGAGCGCGAAAAATAGGGATGGCAAGAAAATTCAGGGAAAAACACGCAGACCGGGGCTGAAAGAAAATATGGAAATTGCAGGAGTACAACCAAGACCAATACATGCCGAGGTCGAGGAGATTGGCCGTTGCGGATTCTTTGCGACTTACGGAAAGTCAGGTGAGAGCGAGATAGATAAGAGACAGAGAGAGAGAGAGAGAGAGAGAGAGAGAAAGTGACAGAGAGAGAGCAGTGCGATAGAGGGAAAAGAAGGCAAAAATTAGAACGAGAGAAAGGAGGCAAATGAGAAAAAAGGAGCAAGAGAGAAGGAGAGAACGAACGTGAGAACGAGCAAGAGTGTCAGAAATTGCAAGCAAGATCAGTAAAATACCAATTTTTTAGGTGAAAACTTGGTTCCAAAATCGACGTGCAAAAGACAAGAAGACCAGTCGTGTCAAGTATGGTTTTAAGATATATCTTTTCCAAAGCTCTCGAGGCTCAGGCCTTACTTATTTTTTTCAGTGAATCCGCGGCAGCAGCCGGAGTGCAACACTCACGATCCAGCGACATTCCCTCCCCACCCAGGCTGAAGCCGTCCCCTCCAACATCTGCCAACCTCCCAATGCCAATCGTCCTTCCCCCATCATCTGTACCAACATCATCAACCTCGACCTCCTTACCATCATCCTCAATCTCGGCTTCACTTCCGCCTCTCCCACCTCCTCCGACCCTTCAGCCCATCTCCATCCCGGCCATTACCAGTCCGGAAGCTATTTTTGCGTCTACGGTAGGTGGTAGTGTGAAATATGATAGAAATACGTTGAGCCAAAATATAATACCTCTACTAAACTAGCTGAACTAAAATATACTACATCTTTTAGGTCTCAACCCCGACATCACTGTCCCATACCCCACTCCCGCTGCCGCCACTACCGTCATTCCCCGTATCACGCCAAAACGAGTTGGTTTTTAATATTTTACAATTTACCCGATAAATTTCGAGCAGCGAGAATGATACCAACATTTGCAGCTTCCTTCCCCAAATCCCGGACCTGACGGCTTTCCCGTATAATCATCTGAATGGGCTGCATCCGATCAATCTGGGACAGATCCAGGTCGGGCTATGCGACTTTGGCAGTTTGACGGCCGGCACGCCGAAGACGAATGAGGTTTGTTAGAAGGAGGATTTCGGCTTTGTTAGACTTAGGCCTAGGCTTATCAGGCTTAGGCTTCGGCTTAGGCTTAAGCGCATGCTTAGGATTAGGCTTAGGCTTAGGCTTCGGCTTCGGCTTAGGCTTAGGCAGAGGCTTGGCTCAAATTGGTAAGCCCTTTGCTTCCTCAGCTCGGGTTTTTTAACAGCTTTTGGTATCTACCCTCTCACATTATCTGTTTTTAGCCGAACTTCCCGAGCGACCTCTACCGAGCCTTCGGCTATCAAGATACCCGAACGACGCCACTTCAGAATTTCGGATTTGGGAGTCTCGAGCCACTGCTGCTCCCTGGAGGCCTCGAACCGTTGAAGCCTCCCCAGTTGCTCAGCTCACAATTATCGTACTCGTCGACCCCGTCGGCAACTGCCGTCACCCCTCCCATGCACCAGGGAAATTAAAGAATTAAAATTAAAGTAGTTCGGGGGGATCTATTGCCGGTTCTGGCAGCGTTAGCAGGGGAAAAGCGTCTCCATAGCCAGCCCACCATGTAAAGATTTTCGAAAAACATTGGATTCTATTTATTTTTATTTGTTTGTCCTTCCGATCGCTAGCAACGAATTTCTATCACAACATTTCCGGTTTTCTCTTTTTCAAGGTTTATGTCTTTTTTGGCCAGCTTTAATTGATTACTATATTTTGTATAATCTATTACTATTTTTACATTTATTAATTAAAAACGCCCTTCCTCTTTGATCTCGCTAGCCAATAGCACATCTATTTTCCGTTGATTCGCGCATGATATGCATTTGATTAAGTTTTCTGTTTTTCCGTTCTTTTTGTATGCATAAAATACTTCTATATACCTAGCATGGCAATGAAACAATCGCAAATTCTTCTATTACCAACCGCTACAGTCAAGAGCGCAAAAAAAATCGAGGAGCAAATTGCTTTTTGGCCGCGTCGAGAGTATAAACTCGTACAGCTCGTAAATGGGCTATTGAGAGATGCCTTCAGGCCCCCTCTTCAAGCATATTATTCCGGCAGCACTCGAAATCCAATCCAACCCCCTGGCCCCGGCGGCCATTTTTGAGGGAGGCGGATCCGGGTAGCTCGAGAAAAGCGGCGGCTTGCATTTCGTATCAAGAGGTCAATTTTTCGACCAATTCTAGACATTTTTGGATTTTGTCTATCTAGGCGAGGCGTAGGCTTAGGCATGGGAAAAGGTTTAGGAGCTTAGGCTTAGTTTGGGCTTAGGCTTAGGCTTAAGTTCAAGCTTAGGCTTAGCTCAGGTCTAGGCTTATGCTTATGCTTGGGCTTAGGCGTCGCTTAACTAACCTAATTTGTTACGTCTTGATCTGAGAACTCAACTTTTTTTGCTGTTTAGTTTCTATAAGATTCAATCCATTTTACAGTATGACCACCCGACTGCTGGTGATTTGCGCACTAATGGCGCTGCTGTATTTCCTTGCCGAAGCCGGACCATTTGATCATGGACCGACGGTAGGTGTTATAATGAAAATTAGTGGCACCAAATCTCCCCAGAAAACTTGTTTTCTAATTTTACGTCTTTATAGGGTTTTTAAAGTATTTTCCACCAGCGGAAACGGAATTTCAAGACAGCCCCCCTCCTTTATATTAACTTAAATCCAAGTATAAATATATGCGCTTCATCTTTAAAGTATCCATCATGAATTCGATCCATTTCCAGTGCAAATTCAACCACGATTGTCCGCCAGGCGTCCGCTGCGCCCACATGTCGCACGGCTTCTACTGCGAGCGCCCGAATTGAGCCGTTAATGCGAAAAATTTGTATAAGTACACTTCGATATACCCTGCTTTTTAATAAATTTATCAATATTCATTCGACACTAATGCAACGGCATTAAGAGATCATCACCGCTGGCGTGGTGAAAATGAACAAACGCATTGTCGATTACCCGAAGAAAAAGGATTGTTGCTGGTTGTTGAAGCCGCCCTGCTTCATCATCTTGTAGCTGCCCCACGAGTTGGAGGAGGAGGCGCTGAAGCCAGGGAATCCACCTCCGCCCATTCTGCCTCCCCATCCTCCTCCCATTCCGCCTGGATATCCCCAGCCTCCACCGCCTGGCCATCCACCCATTCCACCCCAACCGTATTGACGCCGGAAACGAGCGTGGGGTGAAGACCTGAAATTAAGGAGGATTCAGAGATATGATTTAAGCATCGACTTAAACTTAGGCTCGGGCTTAAGCTTAGGCTTAGACTTAGGCTTAGGCTTCGACTTAAGCTAGGCTTATGCATAGGCTTAGGACAATGATTGACCTGCGTTTTCTTCTTATTTCTCAAGACTTGCCTGGTTATTTAATACAAAATATTTTTAAAGCGTTTCGACCAAATATAGCTAAAGTTCCAGTGCAAACAATTTGCGAAATTTCGAAAAAGGGCAGCTTTCATGGCTTTTGGGCAAAAGTCGCGTTTTTCTTTCGAAAAATTTTTTTAGTACTTTTCCAGGAAACTTTAGCATTTTTCGGTCCAAGAATTGGCAAAAAAAACTTTTTAAAAACACGGCTTCGTACAACTTACCCATCTCGAGCCGATCGACCCTCCAGAATCGGCACAGCGATTGCACAACCGAGTAGACAAACGGTTATTAAAATTCGGAGCAGCTGCATTATCAGGGGGGAATGTTTCAGAAGAATTGGCTTCTAATGCCCCCGTTTTTCGATAGCTTTATACAGAAAAACTCGCCGTCTACTCGGCCAATGTTGGGGACCGAATTGGACGAACTGTCTGTGCCCCACCAAGTCGATCTTGTCGCCCTAAAAACGGACCGGTCCACGGTGTAACAAATTTTGGGGTGACTTGTGCTGTTGCGTCATCCGTTTTTAGGGAACTCATGGACCCGGAAAATATGGAAAATACTGTAAAAACAAAGAAAATACTGAAGAAAATAATTTATCACATGAAGACCAAGGAGCAATTAAAGCTGGCAAGATGTCGTTAGGGAAGAGGCGTTGTTTTTGGTTTTATGGAGTCTCATCAACTTTCACGCCATCTTCTTTTTGGATCTAAAAAATTGGATCAATGTATTCTTATGGTTAAATAAACAGCATTAAGGTTAAAAGTAAGTAAGCTTTAGGTTTAGAAATTTAAAAAATAATTGCGCATACGCTGCGGGGCGGTGCGCACACGTGGCGGAGCGTACGAAATTTATAGGTACGCGCCGCGTGCGATGCTTAAGCATCACGCGGCGGTGCGTTTCGTACGCGTCGCTTTGCGTACGTTGTTTACAAACTACCTGGGGTACACAGTGCGTCACATGCGCGTTGGGTGGCATCAAAATTTACGTTGAAAACAGAGGTGTGCTGCGTACGCATTGGTTTGTTTACGCCAAGCATAGCGTAGCGTTGCGTATCACTCTTTATGCGTATATCCATAGCCCAAATAGCCATAGTCTTGCCCCTTAAAAATGTCTAAAAACGAACATCCGTGATCGCGCTCTTCCCAGCTCGATAGATGTCCTTTAGGTGGGGCACCACTTCGGCTTCCGCAAATTCCTTTGCCGCCACAGCTTTCTGACAGAATTTGCTTTGTTTTGGAATTCTTTCAAAGGCTAACCTCCTTGATCCAGGTCATATATCGTTTGTGGAATTCGGGATCCTTGGCCGTCGCCTTGGCCTCGTCGAACTTCTCGCGAATCGTGGGCGCCGCTTCGCCACGCCACCACTCGCCCAACTGAATTTGGGATGTATTCTAATTTCCTTGATTTTGAGCTATAATTAACACTCGTAGTATTGAACACTGCTTACACTTGTGAACGCGTTGGCAATCTTGTCATTCGCGTTGTCCCACCAGTCTGCCTGGGCGGGCGCGACGGCAAGGAGTACAACGAGCAAAAGGAGGGCCGTTCTCATCTACAGTTGATTTATGCATTTACATCGAAGCGAAGTTTTCAAAGAGCTCGAAATAATTACAGTGAAAAAATTTAGAAGGTTTGTAGAAAGCTCAATTCCGGGGGAATCAGTGTCTTATGCCACGGATTCAGAAGCTGACTGTTCAACCGATGACACATTTATTTAGAGGGCAAGCTAGGGAGGAGAGAGAGAGAGAGAGAGCGACGCAACAAACGGAAACGCAAGCAAAAAGCAGTATCCCCGTGACTCACCCAGGAAAAGACCTTGAATAGCGCCCTGTGGGTAGACAGTCCCCCTTCAAACTGCTCCAAAACTCCTACAACGGGATTGGGAACTCGTTTTGTGCAGTGTTTGAGGCCGGAAAGTCAGGGAGGATTCTATAAAAGACCCGTTTTACAAGCTAGGAACGATTTTTGGCTTTTTTTGCAAAGACCTCAGCTTATTTTTGAGCTAGTTGGCCCGGAAATTCTTTTATAATCATGCCGATGGCTAAATTTGGAGGACAAGAAACGCGAGAGGAACATGAAATCCGAAAAGTACGGCCGAAGACTGTGGAAGACCGATTGGGATTGGCTGGGGCCACTTGGCAAGGTTTCGAGTGAGTGGACGAGAGGAACGGAGGAAAGGCCCTTCCGTATTTGTCCAACAAACCGTCACAAAAGCAAGGCCCGTTTAACGAGGATTTTTTTGAATAGGCTTATCATTTGGTGTATGATTTGGTTTAGGGTGTCAGGCTTGCTTAGGCTTGACTTGATCTTAGGCTTAGGGTTATACTAAGACTTAGGCTTATGCTTAGGCTTCGGTTTAAGCTTAGGCTTAGGCTTAAGTTTGGACTTAGGCTTAGGCTTAGTTCATGCCAAAGCTTGACTTCGGCTTGACTTAGGTTTAGGCTTAGGGTTAGGGTTAGAGTTAGGCTTAGCTTGGCTTAACAGCTTTTTACGTTAATTTTTGTACTACGCCTGATCCGGATTTTACGTATTTCAAATATACAAAAACGGCAACAAATAGAAAGCATGTAACATATTTGAAATAGAACGCTACTCCTCCATAAAAGACCAAAGAAATTTTTCTAAATTTTTCAACAAAAAACGGGCACCTCTCGGTGATATGCAGAAAATGGCGTGTCAGATATGTTTTGGCGGGCCGATGGCGCGATAGCCTCCGGTGTTTCGAAATTCAAAAGCCTCTTTGTAAAAAAGGCCGATCTGCATACGCACAGCCGATTTTCGACCCTGTCAGGTGTAGAAGCAGCGGAAAAATCGATAAATGACCGAAGGTAGGGTAAAGATCTGCAGCGTTCCAAGACATCCGATAGTTTATGGCTGGACACGGGGGGGCAAGCGCAATAAATGCCCTGTGGCTATCCATGGGGGCCATCTGTTGCTCATCCAGATGCCATCTTGGCACCGGATTTTGCTGTCGTAGCTGGATGATGTTTGATATGTTAAAGAGTGGTAACGACGAGACGCGACCCCTTCTCTCGGTTGCGTCCTTAAAGCTAGCCAGATGCCCAAATACGTGCGCGTTTTCTGTGGCGCGCGCGACTGCGACGACATAGCGAA